CTTCTAGTAGTCACATTAATAATGTAAAAAGAAACAGGTGAAATTAATTTTTATTTATGTATTTACTTATTTTTGAGATGCGGGTCTCACTCTGTCACCCAGGTTAGAGTGCACTGGTACAATCTTGGGTCACTGCAACCTCTGCCTCCCAAGCTCAACGATCCTCCCATCTCACCCTCCCAAGTAGCTGGGACGACAGGCATGAGCCACCATGCCCGGCTAAATTTTCCATTTTCTGTAGAGATGGGGTTTTACCATGTTGCCCAGGCTGGTCTCAAACTCCTGAGCTTGGGAGATCCACCTGCCTCAGCCTCCCAAAGTGCTGGGATTACAGGTGTGAGCCACTGCTCCTGGCCTTAAAATTAATTTTAAAAAATCTTTCTTATGTAACATATCTAAAATATTATCATTTCAACATGTAATCAGCATAAAACATTACTAGTGAAATATTTTACTTCTTTGTATTAAGTCTTCCAAGTCACTTTCTAGCACCTCAGTTTGGCCTAGTCAAATTTAACTCCTCAATTGAATAATGGCTACGGACCTGAATAGAACAGCTGTAGATCCTTCATAGAAACGAATACCTCAGGTCAAGTGTGCCCAAACCATGGTCCTAAAACCCTCTAATGACCTCAACTTCCATGGAATCATCCCCGTCTGGGTCAAGCTGCTTTTTTAAAGAAAACAGAAGGGTGCCTGGGAAATAGGCAGATCTGAGTTTGAATCCTCTCTCTAACACTTAGCTATGTGATCTTCAGCAAGATAATTAACCTCTTTGTTGCTCATTTCACCTGTTTTGTAAATGAGGGTAATGCCTACTTTGAGTTATTCAGATTGAAATAATGTATTAAATCATCTGCTACATGGAAAGTACTTGATAACAGAGATTACCATTTGACTGGCTTTAAAAAATCTCAAATAATATTATCTCTAGTAAGGAAGGTGTTATTATTCCACCTACCATATTCAGATACAATGATGATTAGACAAGTTTCTTTTTTTTTTTTTTGAGACAGGGTCTTGCTCTGTAGTCCAGACTGGAGTACAATGGCACGATCATGGTTCACTGCAGCCTTGAACTCCCAGGCTTGAGTGATTCCCATGCCTAGGTTTCCCTAAGTAGCTGGCACCACAGGCATGCACCATTATGCCTGGATAAATTTGTTTTTGTTTTTCCCTTAGAAACGGGGTCTCACTATGTTGCCCAGGCTTGTCTCAAACTGGGCTCAAACAATTCTCCCACCTCAGCCTCCTTAAGTGCTGGGATTATAGACCTGAGCCACCACACCCAGCCAAGGCAAGATTCTGAAAATAGATGGTAGGAAATCTCATTTAAGATGGCCCTTTGGGTTTTTTGTTTTGTTTTGTTTTTTTGTAGCAGAGCAGCTCTTTCGTTGCTATCTATTGAAAGTCAACCCTCAACACAAGAGTTTTTTTTTTAAATATAATAAAATGTTCCTAATTTTGGGGTGTGTGTGTGGAGAGACTACCCTGAGAAACTCACAGTAAATACATTTGTATTTGAAAATGGGTACCTAATGGTAGGGAATGAATAACACACATCTGTTTGCCTCCCATGATCTTTGCTCAGCAAATATTCAATCCACTAAATAAAAAGATATAGATTATTGACTATGTGCCAGGCATCCTTCTAGACTAAGGGGTTTGGGGCAATAAATGGGAGGTATTCTGTTAACTGAATGAATGAGGACTGAACGAACTGATGGACACTGTACCTTTTCTGATTTTTCTGAACTAAGTCATCAGTCCTCTTTTGCTTCTCTTGTTTCACCTAAGATTTTCTTGACTATGTCGCTAGGTAGTAGGATTTCCTTCAAAAGGTTCAACTGAATTATGGTCTATATGGCTGAATCTGGGTAAAGGGTACATGTGTGCTTAACTTTTGTGTGAATTTTAAAAGTTTCAAAATAAGAAAGTTTTCAAAAATCACCAATAATAATAGGAGGTAATTATCATGACATGCATCAATGGTTTTATGTATCTGTGTTTATAACGGAGTTAACCAAAAACTATACAGATGCCCAAAGAGGTGAGTGACTAAGAAAATTCACATAATCAAGAGATTAAAATACTATACAGCAACGAATTCACATCTGCAGACTTTGTCAATCCATGGAAATATATGATGAAATAATGTGAAATGGAAAACAAGCAGAATATAATCCACAATTAAAACAAACATGTAAATATATACATATCACATACATTTTTAGTTTTTATAAAAACTAAAAATGTATTTGGTTACATAGGAATATTATTTTCCCTTCTGGGTAAGATTGCTCATGTCAATACATGTAATATAAATATATAACATGTATAATAAATTGTTTTATTTTGAGATGAAGTTTCACTCTTGTCGGCCAGGCTGGAGTACAGTGGCAAGATCTTGGCTCACTGTAACCTCTGCTTTCTGGGTTCATGCTATTCTCCTGCCTCAGCTTCCCTAGTAGCAGGGACCACAGGTGTGTGCCATCATGCTTGGCTAATGTTTTTGTATTTTTAGTAGAGATGAGATTTCATCATGTTGGCCAGGCTGGTCTTGAATTACTGACCTCAGGTAATCCTCCTGCCTTGGCCTCCCAAAGTGCATGATTACAGGTGTGAGCCACTGCATCCGGTCATAAATTCTGTTTTCTAAGCAAACTTATCTTACACCAGAGGGCAGAACGGCTAGGGAAAATAGTCTAACCAGTGAAAAAGAGCACCAACAAAGGAGCACCATCTCTCAATTGTCACATAATATGTAGTGACATTTTGGCAACTGACTCCCAGTTACTGGTGTGTAATTTAGCCTACTGCTTGGAGCCAAATGTCAGATTTGGGATTTTTCTTAATCTGAGTTATTATTCAGAGCAATACTCAACACAAACATTTGACCACTAGTGTCAGATTTTATTTTTACATGATAAGTCCTGAAGCCTTTAACCACAAGGGTGCATACAAGGTAAAATTTTAAAAAATATTAAGCCTGCTGACTTTCACTGTGATTGTGGTTTGATATCATGCAGGATAGATCACATTTGCTGATTCACACTAGGAAAGAGAGCCCCCAACTGTCACAAGCACATCCTGTTTGAAAAGAGGAAACCTCACCAAATCATTTAGTACTTACAATTAACATCCTCATCATCTTGTGGGTCAATGATGACTGAACAATAACTCAAACTAGTTGTGTTCTATATTTTAAAAATTAATATAATTAGTATTCCTAGATCTTTTTAAATTGCTCTACTCTAGCCCTAGGGGAGAAATGATTTCAGAAGGCTGAATACGTATGCTGATTCAAGATATAATTTCTCACTCACTCAACCTCTATAATTTTGGATTATAGAGTAATATAGAGTAATTTTGGCACCAAGTCTTTGGCAACGCTGTTTAAAAACAAAGTACTATAACACACAGCCCATGATATTGACTTCGCATTGCAGATAAATACATTTATACAATACTTTTTCTTTAATATATGTTTATGCCAGGCTTAGGGCCTGCAAGCCTGGCATAAACAAATATAGAAGCCATAGCCTTGACATTTTTGAAAATCATTAAGAATATGGTAATTATAAGACTCTCAACTGACTCAAAGGCTCAGAGCTAAAATCCAGGTAGAGTTTGAACATACCTTACAAAGAGTTGTGACCCAAATTGCATAAACTTTATGAAACTTTTGATTTAAGGACTAAGTTTTCTGGTAACGTCTTTGGGAACATCTGGATAATAAAAGATGATTAAAAAATAATAACATCTGATCTAATTATTTGCCTTGTCCGAATGGTCTGGGTGCCAATCCTGGCAATAAAATTCACCAACTGGGAGACCTTGAACAAATTATTTAATTTCTCTGATTCAAACTTGCTGTCTATAAAAATGAAAAATTAGTTTCTCTGATTCAAACTTGCTGTATATAAAAATGAAAATAATTTAATGTAATTTCTAACAAAACTAATAAATTATTAATGATAAATATGAAAACGCTAGGGAGATATTCAATCACTACTAATATATTATTATCTAGCATCGTCTTCTTCGAATGGATAGATTTTAGGCCGGGTGTGGGGGCTCACGTCTGTAAGCTCAGCACTTTGGGAGGCCGAGGCAGGTGGATCGCCTGAGGTCAGGCGTTTGAGACCAGACTGACCAACATGGTGAAACCCCGTCTCTACTAAAAATACGAAATCAGCCGGGCATGGTGGCTTGCTCCTGTAATCCCAGCTACTTTGAAATCTGAGCCAGGAGAGTCGCCTGAACCCAGGAGGCAAAGGTTGCAGTGAGTGGAGATCACACCATTGCACTCCAACCTGGCCTAGAGAGTGAGACTCTGTCTCAAACAAACAAAAAACCATTTTAAAATGGATACATTTTTAAAACAGTCTTTAATTATAGAACCACTTTTTTGCATAACTTTAAGCCACAGGGCTAATTATACGTGACACAAATCTAACCAACAGAACTGTACTACTTAGATTAAAAGAAACTTGTAGAAATGATAATTTTGCATAACTTCAAACTAAAAGGCTAATTACATATGGCCTAGAAATCTTACCAACAAAACCGCATTATTTCAGTTGAAAAGACTTGAAGAAATGACATTAACAGTCCAAGTCATATTTAAAGACGCCCAGACAAAGGGGAACTGAAATGGATAGACGGACTTACTTTGGAGTTTTCTTGAAAAGGAGCTAAAATACACATCCCATATAACCAATGTCTGCAAGAACCAAAAAGACAGAACTCCAATAATGCAAAGGACTCAGTGACACTGAATTACAATGGATAAACCAGTAAAATTCAGTTCTTCCAACTATTCCTCCCAACAAAACAAAACAAAAGCAGAAAACAACCGACAGGCAGGGTACCGGTTTACCTGTTCTGTGCCCCTCAGGGTAGGTACGTGGAAGAGGAAATGGGAAGCTGGGGCATATTTAATGAATACTGAAAGGGAGGACTGAGGGTTTGGGAAAGTGTGCACAGACGGGCCCTACCTTTCACAGATTTCCCAATACTGTGTAAGTGAGTGATAGAACTGTAGTTTTGGGCAACATTCTTCAAAAACGCTTCCATCCCTTCCTGGTGGTGGTAGTTGAAATCCAGCGCAGCTACCAAAGGCAGCAACAGCTTTAGCCAGAGGCACGGGAAGTCCATGTTCTAGAGATGAATAAGAAGAACCTGAGAACACTTGAAGGCTGGCAGGGGCATCACCAGCTCCGGCTCGGCACTCCGGTCTCAGGGTCTCCCGACACTGACGCTCCCTGCTTCCTAAGGAGGCAAAGGCTGGAAGCAACACCTTCGGGAGTGAGCCGTGCAACCGGAGCCGGGGAGCACAGGCAGCCTCGGTGCCCTGAACCCAGCCGCCCGCGCCGCCCTCTCCTCCCTCTCCTTCTCCCGGCGCCTCCACCGCCCGGCAGCTGCCTTAACTGCGCCGGGTCCCGCGCGCCCCCAGCCTCACCAGGGCCCAGGCGCGCACCTCCACCCGCCCGCAGCAGCCCGGCGGGACCCGGTGTTATAGCCGGGTCGTGGGGGCGGGCGCGCCCGGGCCCCGCCTCCAGACGTCCCTCCGGCCCACTCCGGAGCCGTGCGGGTGCCTCCCGGGCGGGGCCTCAGCCCCCTTTACACCTAGGAGAGCCAGCGCCCGCCGGGTGCGCCCTTTCGTGGAGCGGCGGGTGCGGGCGGGCGGCGGGACGTGGAGTCTCCCCTCGCGGACAGTCTTTGCTGGCACCCCAGGTTAGAAGTGTGTCCTCCCCTCGGCCACGGCTGTGCCCTGGGCAGGCAACCGGGCGCTTCACGGAGGGACACTCTCTGTCGCAGGCTGCGGCCACTTGGGAGACATTTAGGGCTCGGCGGGTTTCCTGAGGTTGGCGGTGCAGGGGCCCACCTGGAGCCGGGACGCGTCCCGAGTCCTGGGTGCCCTGAGCCCCGCGCGGGCTCCGGCGTGATGGGCGGCCTCGGCCTTGGCAGCGCGAGCCACGCTCCCAGGGGTGCCAGCTGCCTGGACCGGCTCAGCGATCGCGGGGCTCCAAGAGAGAACACGCGCGTGTGTGAAAGTTTTAAATGCCACGAAGTGCAGAGTGCAGGACATTGTCCAACAAATTTACATGGTGGGTGGGGTTTGTGTAAATGAGAGTTGAATTTAAAACTGGAAATCACATGGAAGAAGGCAGAGCCACTGTTGTAAATCCGATGCTTCCTCCACCGGCACTCCTTAGGCCAGTTCCAGGTCTCTTGTCCTAAAATGCTTCTTTCCGGAAGGATGGCATGGTCTCTACAGGAGAGAGAGCGAAGTCTTCACTTAAACCTGAGAGGTGGTTTGTGGCGCGGGCCAGCTGTCTCTCTCTAGAGCTTTCGCTCGCTCTCTCTCTCGCTCTTTCTCTCTGGCTCTCTCTTGCTCTCTTCCTCTCTCGCTCTCTCTCCCTTTCTCTCTTGTTCTCTCGCTCTAATTGTAGTAACCCCATTGGAGCCGGTTCAAAGGTCTGGTGAATACAAAAAGTTTGAAAACCACTGATTTGAGATAACATTCCTCTTTTACTGATGAAAAATACAGATGCAAGCCCCTGACCCATTAAATAGAATTTTTCTCGTGGAGGCCCAAGAAATAGTATTTTTAAAGAGGACCTTGAGTGAAACTAATGCACCTTCAAGGGCTGAAAAGCCTAAAGATTTCCTACCCCTTCTTTCTTACAGATACAGATACAGATACAGATGCAGATACTTTAACTAGAATTGAGCACTCTGAACTCCCTAAGACTTCCTGTGATTCTGCAGCAGCAGAGAAGAGTGGTTTGAGAGCTGAGGCACTCATGGGATGGGTGCCAATTCTTGCTCTGACATTCGTTGTATATATCGACTCACTGTGCCTTATTTTCTGGTCTGTAAAATGGAAGTCTTAATTGTACCTATCTAAATAAGGTTAGCAGGAACATTGCAAGATTTTTTCTCTAATCTTGTCGTCTTACTTTATTTCATTGAGTTGATTTTCAATCTCTGGTATCTTTTCTTTCACTTGATCAATTCAGCTATTGATACTTGTGTATGCTTTACGAAGTCCTTGTGCTGCGTTTTTCAGCTCCATCAGGTCATTTATGTTCTTCTCTGAACTGGTTATTCTAGTCAGCAATTTGTCTAACCTGTTTTCAAGGTTCTTAGCTTCCTTGCATTGGGTTTGAATGTGTTCCTCCAGCTCGGAGGAGTTTGTTATTACCTACCTTCTGAAGCCTTCAGTTCATCAAACTCATTTTCAGTCCAGTTCTGTTCCCTTGCTGACAAGGAATTGTGATCCTTTGGAGAAGAAGAGGCATTCTGGTTTTTGGAGTTTTTAGCCTTTTTGTGCTGGTTTCATCCCATCTTTGTGGATTTATCTACCTGTGGTCTTTGCTGTTGGTGATGTTTGGATGGGATCTAGGTAGGAGTGGACAATGGTACTATTCCTTTCTGTTTGTTAGTTTTCCTTCTAACAGGCCCCTCTGCTGCAGGTCTGCTGGAGTTTGCCGGAGGTTCACTTCAGACCCTGTTTGCCTGGATATCACCAGCGGAGGCTGCAGAACAGCAAAGATTGCTGCCTGTTCCTTCTTCTGAAAGCTTTATCCCAGAGGGACACCCACCAGATACCAGCCAGTGCTCTCTTACATGAGGTGTCTGTCTGCCCCTACTGGGAGGTGTCTCCCAGTCAGGATACATGGGGATTAAGGACCCACTTGAGGAGGCAGTCTGTCCCTTATCAGAGTTTGAACGCTGTGCTGGGAGAGCTGCTGCTGTATTCAGAGCTGTCATGCAGGGATGTTTAAGTCTGCTGAAACTGCACCCACAGCCACCCTTTCCCTGAGGTGCTCTGTCCCAAGGAGATGGGGGCTTTATCTATAAGTCCCTGACTGGGGCTGCTGCCTGTTTTTTCAGGGATGCCCTGCCCAGAGAGGAGGAATCCAGAGAGGCAGTCTGGCAGCAGTGGCCTTGCTGAGCTGGTCTGGTGGGCTCTGCCCCGTTTAAACTTCCCAGTGGCTTTGTTTACACTGTGAGGGTAAAACTGCATACTCAAGCCTCAGCAATGGCAGCTGCCCTGCCCCCACCAAGCTTGAGCATCCCAGGTCTACCTCAGACTGCTATGCTGGCAGCAAGAATTTCAAGCCAGTGAATCTTAACTTGCTGGGTTCCGTGAGGATGGGACCCACCAAGTCACCTGGCCACAGACCACTAGACTCCCTGGCTTCAGCCCCCTTTCCAAGGGAGTGAACAGTTCTGTCTTGCTGGCATTCTGGGTGCCACTGGGGTATGAAAAAAAAAAAGCTGCTGCTAGCTTGATGACTGCCCAAATAGCTGCCCAGATTTGTGCTTGAAACCCAGGGCCCTGGTAGAGTAGGAACTGGAGGGAATCTCCTGGTCTGCTGGTTATGAAGGCCATGGGAAAAGTGCAGTCCTGGGCTAGAGTGGACTGTTCCTCCCAGTATAGTCTCTCATGGCTTTCCTTGACTAGGGGAGGGGCATACCCCAACCCCTTGTGCTTCCTGGGTGAGGGGATGCCCCACCCTGCTTCAATTCATTCTCCATGGGCTGCACCCACTGTTCAGTCAGTCCCAATGAGATGAACTGGAGACCTCAGTTGGAAATGCCCAAGTCACCTGCTGTCTATGCCCATCTTGCTGAGAGCTGCAGACTGGAGCTGTTCCTATTCAGCCATCTTGCCAGTGGGGGGAATATATATATATTTTTAATGAGAAGCTGTTTGTTTATTTAGTGACACAGTCTCACTCTGTTGCCTTGGCTTGAGTGCAGGAGTGCAATCTCAGCCCACTGCAGCTTCCACCTCCCAGGTTCAAGCAATTCTTGTGTTTCAGCTTTTCAGAGTGCCTGGGATTACAGGTGAGCATCATCAAACCTGGCTACCTTTTGTATTTTTAGTAGAGACCAGGTTTTGCAACGTTGGCCAGGCTGGTCTTAAATCCCTGGCCTTGAGTGATCATTCTGCCTCAGCCTCCCAAAGTCCTCGGATTACATGCATGAGCCACCTCCCCTGGCCCAAGTGTTGGAAAATCTTAATATGACATTGTTGAGTCTTTGAGTAGGTTTGTTTTTTTTAATTGTGTGGTAGTCACTATGCTAAATATTATTTCCACTGAATGGCTTGAAGAAGTTCTCCTTTCATTGCTGTTCATTGACTAAGAGGTGTGAGAGGAGGGGGACTGGAGCTTGAGGCGATTACATTTGGGCAAAGTTACTCTAGGAATGGGAAAGGGAACAAAGTGAAGCCTTGCTGATGTATCTGAGAAATCACATGTTTTTAATAAAAGTGATATCCTGCAGGGGTGCTGTGGCTGGAGACTAGAAGAAATGGTGGCTTCATCAATACTGGAATGGAGATTGCCAGGACTGTTGTTTCAGAAGAACAAAGAGACGAGCTGTTGTTGAAATTGCTGACTTTGGAATTCACATTAGGTAGGAAAGGAAGGAACTTCAGGAAGGAGTCAGAGAATGGAGGGTACAGAGGACTGAGCTCTGAAGGTTTAGGAGCAGTAACTCCGAGTGCAGCCACGGGCAGTGCTGGCATCACCTGGAGCTTGTTGGAAATGCAGAATCTCTCATCCCACGCCAAACCTACTGAATCAAAATACACATTTTAATAGGATTTCCAGATGTATATGTACATTCTAGTTTAAGGTACATTTGTATAGAGAGAAAAAATATTTAGTGTTAGAGTATGAAAGATATCAGCAAAATAAAAGATTAGCCTAATAGAGCAAAATACTGAAGTTTAATATTTTAGAGGTGATCTTATTTTTTCCATTCCTTCCTTCCTTCCTTCTTTCTTTATTTTCTTTCTTTTTTGAAATGGAGGCTTGCTCTGTCATCCAGGCTGGAGTGCAGTGGGCATGATTTTAGCTCACTGCAGCCTCTGCCTCCGAGGTTCAAGCAATTCTCCTGCCTCAGCCTTTGAGTATGTGGGATTACAGTCCTGCCACTATGCCTGGCTAATTATTGTACTTTTAGTAGAGACAGGGTTTCACTATGATGGCCAGGCTGGTCTCAAACTCCTGACCTCAAGTTATCTGCCCACGTAGGTCTCCCAAAGTGCTACAGGTGTGAGCCACTGGGCCTGGCTCTAGAGGTGATCTTTCTAAGTTTGACACAATTAAACATAATACCATAATAAAAAGGCTAATAATTTAAACACATAAAAATGTATGACTTCTGTACAGGAAACTTTATAAAGGTTATAAGAAAAAGAGCTTTATATCAGGTTATAAGAAAAATTACAAATTGGAAGAAGGAATTAATAGCTCTTACAAAATCAAGGATGAGCAAAGGACATTAATAAGCTGTTCATAAAAGCAGTAACACAAATAGCTAATGAACATAGTAAAGGTTACCAACCGGGTAAGCAATCAAAGAATTACAAGTTAAAAGGGTAAAGTAATATTTTGTTTTCCCTTTCACAAAGCAAGATGAAAAAGGTTGACAATACCTGGAAGTAGATAGGATCTCAGGAAATGACATTTATGCTGTTTTAATGGTATTCTAAATTAATACAATTTTTCTGGAGGGAAATCT